AAGAGTCAGACAATTGGGATGTTCTGATAGCACCAACCTCAAGCCAGCTGTCATGCACATGTGTGTTTGTGGGGGTGTGCACACTGGCTTCTGTACATGTGAAGGCCAGGGGTCGTTTCTGGTTCTCTCCTCAGTGGTTCTCCACCTTAGTTTTCGAGACAAGGTCTCTCACTGTGAAACTGGAGCTCACTTTTTGGCCAGACTGGCTGGCTAGTGAGCTCCTAGGACCCACCTCTACCCCTACTCTGCCCTGCCCGTACAGTGCTAGAGGTATAGGTGAGTACCATCTTAGGTCTTCATGCTTTTACAGCAAACATTTTTACACACTGACCCAACTCTTTAGCCCTTCAAATCATTTTTGTCATTTTCTTTTTCTCTTATGAGTGGGGTGTTGGTAGAATACTTGCCAGTATTCATGAAGTCCTGAGTTCTATGCCCAGCACTACATAAAAAGGGTGCAGTGGTGTAGTCAAAGGTAGAGGCAGGAGAATCAATTTAAGGTTGTCCTTTGCAAACATCCAGTTTGAGACTAGCCTGGGCTATATGAGATTCTGTCTCAATAAATGAAAGGAAGGGAAGGAGGGAAGGAGGGAGGGAAGGAAGGAAGGAAGGATGAAAGGAAGGAAGGAAGGGCTCAGATTGGCCTGGACAGGATAAGTGAGGGTTTATGGGACAGTAGAGAGACTAATGCTAGGCTTTGGTGGTCTGCCTATTGGGTTAGAATCACAGCTGTGCCACTAGCCCAGCCTTGGACCTTGAATAAGTCACATAGCCTTTGTAATCCATGTTATACTTCCACACAGTATTATCTGAGGGGTTCAGAGGTATTGTGGATTTGCTCCTCTGAACCTTGTCCGTGATTATTACCAGAGCCTGGGGCCTCAGGCCTCCAGGACATGGGTTGGCTCATGCAGGCAGCTGGTAGCTCTGTCTACAGGCAGAACCAGGGTGGCTCCTCCAGTTAGAGGTACCTTGGATATTTGATACTACCTTTCCTCTTTTTCCCTCTCAGCAATAACAACACAGGTTGGACAGAGATTATTTCCAATATTTACAGACAAAATGGATCCCCAGTGATGTGGGTAAAACGATGGATGTCTACCCACCCAGAGCCTGCCCTCTGGCCACCCTCCTGAGAACCATCAGAGAAAAGTATCTTAGGAAATCCATTTGTGTATCAAACACCCACGCAGAAAGCGGTATTTAAATTGTTTCCTGGAAATAACCGAAACCCGAATTTTCTGGAAGGAGCTCCAACCTGGAATTCTCTGGAAGAAGTACAGTCAGAAAAGGCAAACACTATTATAAAACATTTGTGGCAGATTTCTTGGATGGAAATTCCCTTCCTAATATGTTTTGATTTTGAAAGAAAAACCATCAAATGCCCAACTTTAGACTACTATAAAACGAATGGATTTCTCAGTAGTCAGTACTAGTTGGTAAGCTGAACACATTGGACAAAAGTATTTCCTGGCTACTGTACATGTTTATGAAGTCAGACATCAAGGAAAAAGTTGTGGAGAGATAAAAACAACTGAAAAGAATGACCAGGATCTCAGAAGTACCAGTATGTTTGCTTACAAAAGAAGTATGAGGGGATGGAGAGATGGCTCAGCGGTTAAGAGCGCTGGCTGCTCTTCCAAGGATGCGGGTTCGATTCCCAGCACTCACATGGTGGCTAACAACCATCTGTAATTCCAGTTCCAGGGGATCTGATGCTCTCTTCTGCCTTACGCGGGCATTGCATGACACCAGTGCGCTTACATGCAGGCAATACACTAAAAATAATAAAAACTATTTCTTAAAAGTATGAGAACGTTGCATTGAGACAAGGCTTGCCAAGGACAATAGAGAGGGTGCCTTAGAGATGTTATGGCTTAGATTTGAAATGCTTCCTATAGGCTCATATTTCGGATACTTGTTCCCCAGTTGCTGGCACTATTTGGGGAGTTAGTAGATTCATTTAGAAGGTGGGTCTAGCTGGCAGAAGTGGATTGCTAGAGCCTGTATGTATTGGACCTAGTCCCTGGTTCCAGTCCCACTGTCCCTGCTCCCTGGTTGGCCATCTTGCAAACAGCCTCCACCACAGATCCCTGTGGCCCTGAATGGCGTCACTCTACCTGTTACATTAAGTCTTTTGTGGGGCTAGAGAGATGGCTCAGTAGTTAAGAGCACTAGCTGCTCTTACAGAGACCCCAGGTTCAATTCCCAGCACCCACATGGTAGCTAACAATGGTTTGTAACTCCAATTCCAGGGGAATCCAATATCCTCTTCTGACCTCCATGGGCATTGCATGACACAGGTGCACTTACACATATGCAGGCAATACACTCATACACATAAAATAAAAATAAAATATTTTAAAAAATAAAGTTGAAACCCTTCAAAACCACAAACCTTTTTTTCCTTTCCTCTCTTAAGTTGTTTCTGTCAGGTATTGTGTCACAGCACACTTGTACAAGGGAAAATTGCACTAAAATCTAAGTAACTTAGAGACAATTTAAGACTATTGATGTCCTTATAAGTTGTCTTTTTTTCCTTTTCTTTTCAGTGAGTGACTTGCAATAGTTATGTCAATTATTTGTATGGCAATAGATTTTTGTTGTTGTTGTTGTTGAGACAGGGCTCCCAGCTGACCTGGAGCTCACTGTGTAGACCAAACTGGCCTCAGTCTTACAAAGATCCTCCTGCCCTCTGCCTCTGCCTCCTGAGTACTGGGATTAAAGGCATGTGTCACCATACCTGGTGTAAATCGCTTTTTAAAAGGCAGCTTTGAACAGTTAATTTTAAAATAATTTAACACCTTTATGATAGATTTTAAATTTTTATTAGCACATATTAATTATGCACAATTATAGATTTCATTATGACATTTTTATACATCTGTAAAAAGTATTTTGATCACATCCACCACCCTTTCCCTCTCTTTCCCCTCCCACTGATCTTCCTCTTCCCAACTAATTCCCCTTCTACTTTCATAGATTTTTATTGTTATTGCTTGTTTGTTTATGATCCAATGAATTTAGTTAGACTTGCTTCAGGAGTATAGGTGAGAGGTTATTTATAAATGTTTGGAAAACTTACCAGTGGCTACCTCACTGATTTTATGATATTTTTGACATAATTCATGTGTATTATAAGGCATAATTTGATTTTGCTCCAGTAGGTTAAACATAAGCCTCTCTCACTGATGAATTCCAGCTTATCTGGCACTAGCTAAACACACCTCACAGGGCAGTTCACAAAGGAAAAGGGCCTTGGAGAACAGGCTATGAAGGGCAGGGAGAGGACCCGATGGCTGCAGGCACCAGCACAGGACAGCGGAGCGAGTGAAGAATGACCAGGCCAGATGCCGTGGTTTCCTGTGTGAATTCAGTTACACTGAATGGGAAGGCGGTGTATAATTGCCACTCCTGGACACTAGAAATGAAGTAAAAGATACCAAATCCAGTCTTCTGAATTCCAGTGTCTATCTGATTAACATGCCCTGTATTAATTGCTTTTCTTGCTGTGATCAAATATATCACAAGTAGCAACTTCAGGAAGGAAGGGCTTATTTTGGTTTAAACTTTGAGGGGATTCAGTCCATCATGGAGTGGGAAGCGGGCGGTGATGGTGATGGCTTCAGAGTGGCAGGGGTGTGCCCTGGGCTCCTCTTCTCCTCACATCTTGGCTGAACCCAGAGCAGAGAGTGGAAGGAAGTCAGGCCAGGCTATAAAACCTCAAGGCCTACCCCACAGTGACCCATTTCTCCCAGCAAGGCTCCACCTCCTAAAGGTTCCACAACCTTCCTAGGCAGTGCCACTAGCTCACAACTATACCATGGGGGACATCACAGTCAAGCCACAACATGCCCCAAACTTTGACACTTCTCCCTTCTTGGTCACCTATAGCCAACCTTTTACTAGGTTGTACAAATTGTACCCTTCTAAATAGATCTCAAATGTTTCCATCAGTGTTTCCCCTGACACTAGCCTAACCTCAGCTATATCTGCTCTAGTCCAGACCTTTGTAACAGCCAAATATGGACTACATGACACCCACCTTGGCCCTTAATCATTTCAACACACAAACCTCACCTTGCTTCTGCAGCCCTTCTCATCACTGCCTCTCACCCACCCTTGGCATGACTGGGGGTTAAGACCAGGTCTCTGTCCCACAGCCTGCTCTCCCATGAGCCTCTTCCAACATTTAGACCTCAGTTTCTAGAGCTTTCTCTGGAACTGGGATCCCAGTCTTTGCCATTTTAATCCTCCTTGGTTAATGCTACTAGGTGTTCCTTATCTTTCAAAGCACAAATCTCTATCCAGTGTTCAATTGTTTAATTAATGCCTTGTCTCCATAACCACAAGCTCTGAACAATTCTGTTGCTGAATGCTTTTCCTCACCGGACTGTCTCCAGCATCTAACAAAGTGTTTCCCATACAGCAAAAACAAGTAAATATTCATCGAATGAATGGATGAGCTTAATGAGAAAAGGCTTTAAAGATGATTCTTAAAAGATAACCTCTTTTTACTTTTTTTCACAGAGATCTCAAACCAAACTGGCCAAGAAGCAAAGCATTCCTTACAGTATGTTTTTATGAATGAGAAGTCAGAGAGATGCCACAGTAACCAGGGAAATAGAGTTGTTTTACGCTTCTGCATGAGTAAACTATCAAAATAGCATGCACTCACATCTAAAAGTTTTTATTCCCAAGATGTTTCATCCTGAGGATGGATAAATGTTCCATTTACTTGGAAAATTATAAAGTATCGCCCAAAAGAAAATTGAGAAACTGCAGCTTAATAAATTAAAAAAAAAAAAACCTTGGTGAACTAATGGCTTGCTCACAAATATTCTTTGAGTGATTCAATAGAGATGCAAAGCAATCACACTGAGTTTAGACAAGAACACACTGGTACCAGCAAGTGGTATTTTCTAAATACAGAGCCAAATGGAAGCTAAATTTCAGAAAATTCTCTGATGGGCATAACTTTGACTATCTACTCTCTATTTTTTAATGTGGAACAATTGATAGCTTTTCGTGTCATCCTTGCTCAGAGGTCATGCTAATCTTCTGTCATTCCAATTGTAGTGCAAGGGCTGTGACATGAGGACCGCTCTTTACTCTTGCTTTTAAAAATAAATTACTTCAGAGAAACAATTTGATGCCAGAAAGTTCAAGGTACATGATTCAATGTGTATGGAGTAACATGTTTCCACCATTTAGAAGTCTTCCTGAAATTATTTTCCTCCTGCTTGGGTGGTATAAACTGGGTAGTAATTACTGAATAGTCTCTCCCAAATAAATATCTCACATCAGAGTATGGAGAGTGATCAGTAAGGCAAAATAACTTAAGTTTGAACCAGGCCGTTGCTGCGCACCCTTACTATGCAAGCTCTGTCAGCACCATCACAAAGGCCATTTTACAGCTAGAAGAGAGACCTCTAGTGTGTGTTGGAGAACTTTATATTGTGCTTCGGGCATAATTAATAGAGTAAAATTACTGCAGTCATTTTGCATACTGTTATAGGGAGATTCTGGTCAGCCATCATCATTCAGACTCAATGCATCTAGAGATTTCTTCTCAGCAAACCTATGGCCTGTTTGCCTAATTATTCTTACACACGCAAGTCCCATCCCATGAACTTTTCTCGGTGGTGGGAAGTTTTAAAGGTCCATGGTCACCTTTGCAACCTCATTAGTAAACATTTAACCTACTGTCAACTTAATAATCACCAACAGCTCTTTCCAATCTGCACCAGCAAGACTTCGAGTGCTCAGCCTCCTAAACGCCAGCCCCTCCTCCTAAGTTAAATGCCACCCAAATCTAAACAGGAGGACTAAATTAGCACCTTGCCCATTATCCTGGAGAAAAATGGACTCACTGCTATTTGAAATTCGCCAAGTAGACTGGCTCTTAGCTCCCAAAGCCTCCCACACAGGCAGGTGAATTCCTTGATGTAGGCTCAGATTTAACGAATCATTCCATGGCCTCAGCCCCAGTCTTTTAAAAATCCTTTATTTTCTCCTTTTCCACATTAAAAACACATTTGAGATACACACAGAAAATGTTTCCCCGAAAAGCACACACATAACACACGTAACAGGAGGTCTCTTAAGGAGTCTACTGCTGAGAAGGTAAAACCATTTTGCTCATTTTTAATTTGCTAAAACAATCCAAGCATGCTTGGTACCCAGAGGGTATTCTCAAATAAACTTGTATCTCTAGCTGCCAGCTTAGTTGATTGAAAACAGAAGGCAAACGTTTCTTAAAGAATGAGTATGTTAAACTGTTATGTCTCTCCCAGTGCCACCAAGGACACGGACACACACACACACACGCAGAGAGAACACCCACAGGCAAGGATTTGCTTGAAAATAGTCAGTTCTATGGTCTAAAAGGTAAAACATTATTTGTACCAAATAACTTCTACTACAGTACCCCTCTTAGCCAGGAAGCCAGAGCCAAGGGTATACTGGACAGTTCCCGCCTGCAGTTCTGTACTAAGCCGACCGCCCCAGCCTAACTTTGCTAACTTAGTCCCGCCCAGCCTGTTTCCGAAGCATAGTCACGGTGAAAATGTCCTGACACCGGAAAACCATTTCCACGACATTCCAAGTGTTGGAAAGCGCACAAAGGCCGTCCCTGTCCACCCGCGATCCCTAGGAGGTTGTGGCTTGCCAGGCGACTGTGCGCCGCCCGCGCCCAGGCTAAGAGGTCTGCCTCCCTCTTCCTGCAGATTGAGGGGCTCGGTCTCACTTTAGTGCAATTCACCACCACGCTTCCCCCGCCCCGTTTTTTCCAGGAGGCGCGGAGTCTTTTATTTTCCAGCCAGGTCCCTCTTGGGGGCAAGAGAGGAAGCACACTTCACATTTCCATAAAGAGGGGAGGCAGGGTGTGGGGGGGCATGGAAAGAGGTCAGAAAGGAGCCAAACTGCACCCCTTCCTCCCATCTCTGCGCCCCGGAGCGCTGGTCCAGACCGCGCACGCGGGAGGCGGCCAGGAAACTCTGTCCCTTTAAGGGAACCTTGGCCTCCAGGAGGGGAGGAGGTAAAGATGCGGGCTGGGGACTCCGCGCTGCCCGCCACGCGGAGAGGAGGCGAGCGCTGCAAAGCCACAGCCCTTACCTGCAGCGGTCCCCGCTACCCCTGCGCCCCCAGCCCATCCCCGCCTCCCTAAGAGACTTCTAATCCGGAGCGTGTGCCTGGCCCTTTATCAGAGGAGGAGGTGGGGAGGAAGAGGAACGAGCGCTTTTTAAAAATAAATGAAACGTTTGCACCCAAGGGGGGGGGGGCGGAGAGGAGGTGGAAATGGGAGGGGATGGGAGGGGGCTTTAAAGGCGGCCGGGTGGGCGGAGGCGACGAATCTGGACCAGCCTGAGAGGCTAGCGCGGCGGGCCAGTGCTGGGCAGCAGCTCACAAAGGGGCTCGGCCCGGAGAAAGGCGAAGGGAAAAAAGCGCCCCGGGGCCCGATCCGCTCCGCAGCCACAATGGCGTCTTTGAGCCGGTGTCCCGGGGGGCGCCGCCGAGGCTGGCCGCTGGAGGGGCGACGGTCCCCACCGTCACGCGGCCGGCGCCGAGCCCCGGGGCGCCGCCGCCACCGCGCACCCCCAGGGAAGAAAGGGCGCTCGGGGTCCGCGGGGGGAGGAGGGGACGCGGAGACCGGGCGACCCGGGGGCTCCGCGCCGAGATCCGCCCCCCGGGCCGCGCGGCTGCGAGCCCCGGCCACCAAGCCGCAGCAGCTCCCGACCCTCCGAAGCCTTGGTCGGGCTCTGGCCGCCTCCGACCGCGCCCGCGCCCGCTGGAGGGAGGCCAGCCGGGCACCGCAGCAGCAGCGGGTCGGAGCGGCTCCCCAGCCGCCCTCCGCGGCGGGCTGCGTGTGTGCGAGTGTGCCGCGCTCTCGCCCCATGCCTGGCACATGCGTAAAAGCGAGTTGCGCCCAAAGTCCCAGCCATACCCTCCTTAGCAAATAATAACAAACCCAAACCGTCAGATCTTACCTGAAACATTGAAGCACAAAGTCTCTCTCCAAGTCCCCTTTTCCTTTTCCTCCCCCCCTTTTCCGATTTCTCTCCCAGCGATCTGCTCGCCTCGCCACACCAGACAGAAATGCAATAGCTTGGCTAAGGTAGACAGAACAAAATACAGAGAAGAGTTGCTCCAGGGCTTTGAAACCCCTCAAGGCAAGGATCAGGATACAATTAGCTCGAGCCTCTACCTCCAGTCTAAATCTCCAAAATAAAACTTAAATCAAATTAACCGATCACAGGGCACACAATCGATCTCCTTCAAAAATAAAGCTCTACATAGACCTATAGAAAAATATACATATAGGAATTTTTTTCCAGATTTTTTTTTGTTGGAAAAACAGTCTCGTTCCAGCCTCCAACTTGCTTTTTACTCTCCTCTTGCACAGAAAAGCTGATTTTAATCGTTGTGATTAGTTTTGATGTAACGTTTCCGCGGGCGATTTCTACAAATGGATGGAGTGTTTCTTTGCCAAAAGAGGGAAACGCAGCAGATGATGATAATTATAAGGATTGTTGGTTGGTTCTTTTTATTTGTGTTTAGGGCTCGCTTCACTTTCTCCAGTTGACCTGACATTACTGCTACACACAAAAAGGTCTCACAACTTGTTGATGAGGCTCACCACCCTGTCTGATCAAAGGATAGGTGATAATTTGGCAATAGAACAGCACATTTTTGGTTCCTTTGGCGACATAATGTCCCAAATGACGTGGGTAAAAATAAGCACATGCAGTCTGCTTTGCCTCAGTCAAGTCTGAATCAGTGCCTGAGGGCGATACACAAACTCATTTCAAATGTTCAACCATGCAGAATTGTAAAAAGATTGAAGGAGTTACACTGCATTTTTTAGTGGCAAAATTAAAAGAAAACAAAACCTAACATACCTACCATTTGGGTTTATTTGATCAACCTTCTGAACATGCCTCTCGAATTCTCCTTGCTTGCCTCCACCTGGTACCTTTTATAGGGGTTTTTGTATGGGGCCATTATTTGAAGGAAGGGCTCCACAGAGGCAGAGACTAGCATAAACAGGTTTCCCCAGCTTGCAGCTCTTGTTCTGACCCCCACCCCCATCACTTCTTCCTCTCTAGGTCTTTGTTCAAAGAGCTTGTGTTAGAGCCTGTCACTTAATTCCTTTTAGTTAAAGTGGGATGTTTGGTTATAAACTCAAGGGTCCTCTCCTATTAGTGTTACATCCTTGCAAGATGCTTTTTGAGATGATTTGTTTCTGAGCACTTCACAGTTCATTAATTCAAAGACTTTGCTGACATTTCTCATATGTGTGTGTGTGTGTGTGTATTGCATAGACAAGGTTGTAAGGCCAAGGACACTAATACAAGAAAACCTACAAAGAACTAGATATGCCTTGCAAATACAACTGGTGGCATCTACAGGAAGTCACTTTAACCACATCATTTTACCATTAAAATGAGCAAGAGCTACAATGTCAACAGAAAAGGGAAGGATTAAGATTTAAGAAAAAAATATAGTCCAACAGATCAATGTTATAATGACTCAAGAGACTGATGTCAGAATGTTAATTGGAGTGTTGGTAGATTTTGTTTTTCATAAAAAGAACATACTTTTGTTTTGAGAACATCAGTGCCCTGTAAGAAGGAAAAAAAGAATATCTTACAAAATAACACAAAAGAAACAGAGTATTCTTTGTACATTCTCTCTGGTAGAAAATTCTGTGACCTGCAATAAAGTCTTTAAAAGGACCACTAGAAGCTAAATTCAACTGAATGGACACTTCTTTCTCCAAATGGCACTGTTAACATATGAGGAAGTAAGGAGAGGGACTGTGGCTGAAACATGCCCGATAATTTGATATGATAACTGACAAAAGTTGAGTATCTCTTATCTGCTGAAATGGTTAGAATCAGGAAAATTCAGATTTTTTTTTTTTTTTGTCTTTTTGAGGCAGGGTCTCTCTATAGACCCAGCTGCCCTGGAACTTGCTATGTAGACCAGGCTGGCCTGGACCTTACAGAGATCCATCTGTCTCTGTCTCCCTAATGATATGTTAGGGATGGGACCCAAGTCTGAACATGAAATTCATTTATGTGTCTATAACACCTTCTACA